ACCAAAAAATTTCTTCAAATTTAAGGTCTTCAAAATAATCTGAAATTTTTTTTGTATACTTCTTTAGTTACATTTATTAATATCTTACAGACAGCAGTGTAGTTTATTGACATTTGCCTGAGAAAAAAAATAAATCAACATAAGCCTTTATGTTAGCTGGACCATAAATTGCTTAAATTAATTCTTTTTATCCACTGTAGAAAGAATCAAAATTTTTTTTGTTGCTGATCTGTACAGAATAAAATTGTGTATAATAATCAATTATTAAATAAATAAATAACTTTGATTGCATCCCACCATATTACAATCATACATGAACTTGGTATTAGGTTAATAGTTGCTTTGCCTCATTACAGTGTTAGCAGTTAAAAATTTTTTTCGGTAACACTTTAATGTCCTGGAATTCATAAGCCAGGAAAATGACAGCCAGGATAATGACAATTTCGCCATTTTATAGCATATAACTTTACTTTAATTTAATATTTTAGCCTGAGACATTTACATTCTGCAGAAAACAACAAGATTTCTTAAAATAACTCAGATAAATCTATGTTATTTTGTGTTATTAATGATTTCAAGAACCCAAGAAAATGACAACACAAAAACCTACTCATCTTGAAAAATTTTTTGAAGTATATTTTGAACCAGAAAATTGGTCTTTATTCATGCAACAAGACATGTTCATATAGGAGGGTATCTAATCAATCTATTAACATACGATATTGATTGCTGGCTCTATCTATTTTGGTTATAAACCACTAAATAAAAGTAGCCAGGAAAATGACAGATTTTCTTGGGACAAACAAATTATTGACAGAAAAAATTATTTAAAACTAAGTTTTTGTAAATAATACCCTCTGCGTATATTCTAGAAATGCTTACGCCGGTTGAGATAAAAAAAATTAGATATTAAAAAATTTATGGGAAGTTTTGAAGCTAGTTATTATTGGAAACATCGTTTGGGACATGCCAGAAAAATGACATTTTGAAGTTTAATAAAATTTTTGAACTATACAAAACAGTCAATGCTAGTGCAAAGTCATTTTAAAATGCTAACGGCAATGCAATTTATTAATTTTTTTAAAATAAGTTCTTTTAGTATTATAGTATTGATCTTGAAGCAAGGGACAGTGAATTGTCCCTTGTTCCAAGAGCAAGGAACAGTGATTTCGTGAGTCTCCGAGAGCAAGGGACAGTGATTTCGTGAGTCTCCGAGAGCAAGGGACAGTGATTTCGTGAGAATCACCCTTATAACAGTCGTAGCGCTATCGGCCATTGTGAAAATCTAGTACTATTACACGGTTTCAATGTATTCCTATTAAGTATACGCTTTTTAAAGATGCTATTTGATATTCGCTGAAGGTTCAAATATAAATATTTGGGGGCTTCTCTGTCGTTAGTTTTTCAAATTGTCAGTCAGCTCCTGTTATATTCAATTTGTCAGTCAGCTCCTGTTATATTGAATTTGTCAGTCAGCTCCTGTTATAATTTTATGTTTTCCAACATCGACTCTCCTTTCTTCGAGGTACGAGCTTTTGTCCGTATTGGGAAATTTTCCTTCACCTAGACCATTTTTTTATTTTCAGTTTTACGCACTTTAACCTTTGAACCATTGGTTTATTGCTTTAAATTTGGTTTTGTACTATCACATTTCTTTAACGATTACGTTCCCCTTAAATTTTCTATATCTATCGTCAACGTCGCATAGTTTGACAATTGAGCCTATTGGGTTACTGTGTTACTTTGTTTTGTACTACTACATTTCTTTAACGATTACATTCCCCTTAACTTTTGTTATTTTCCTTTAGATTCTACTTTCTGACCTTACTTTTGTTTGCTTTGTTATTTACTTTGAAATTGATATTTTATATTTCTCCTATCAATGACAGAAAATATCCAAACTTAATTTTGTACAATTCAATATGCCCTATTATCTTGTTATCCTTTGGAAATGTGTTTGTTTTATCATTCTATACCCAAATAATATTTTAAACTTTTATTTTTAGGTCACAGTTAAAAGATTATCCCCATTATTCCATATATTACTATTTAAAAAAAATGTAATGCTGCCATACAGTTTCTTCCAAGATAATTTTTACTTTTAATTATTGGGGCCTCCGCCCTCGCCAATTGCCGGACCAAATGTTTTTTCCACTTTGATCTAGTTCAATACTCCAGCTTTTATATTTTAATATCCTTTATATTTTACGTTAATTATATTAGAGGTTAAACTTCAAATCTCATCTTATATATTATGTAAGATGAGATGTGAAATTGCTGAGCTTACAAGTTTATTAAGAGGCACATCAAAAGTTTTCATTATGGAATCTAATGCATTTTTAATATAGTCACCGCGAGGTGACTCTTGAAGTGCTACTAAATGAAGTGTCGCCTATATGTTGTCAGTATTAGTTGTTTGTTTATGTTGCGAAATGTCATTGTGGATTTTACTTTTTCTTAGAAAAAAAAATAAATTATTGGTAGATCGTGTTAATCGGTCTGGAGTTGGACGATCACGAAACTGTTTATGTTCGTTCGCGCAGTTTTCGATGAGTCATATCATTCTTAACTTGTACGGAAATTAAATTTGTTAAAACGTTGCACTTAGTCTTTAATATTTGTTAGTATTTTAAAAGACATTTTGAAACACATGCGGAACGATAAAATTTTTTAAAAATGTAATAGCACAAAAATGAAAAGGGAACTCTGGTACATTTATCGAGAGCCACAAGTAATCCTTCAAAGAGCCGCATGTGGCTCGCGAGCCGCTGGTTGCCCCCCTTCTATATAACAATGAAACAGTTCAACTATTCATTGGAATAAAGATGAGGTCATCTTTCTTACAATTACTCTTCAAATGCTATGATTAGATTGACAATACCTCACATGGCAACAATTTAAATTTTCTGCGTTTACATTCTTTGCATGGAAAAATCCGAAGAATATAAACTATTTATATAGCGCTCTTTTGTTCCTTTTTGGACACAGGGCTTTAGTTCCGCTGGAAATAGATTTTGTTAAGCTGAGTTACTAAGTACGAAATTTTTTTTTTACCCTTAAAATAAAATATATAATAACCTAATGACAGCATCAATAACATTTTGATACCCTCCTTTAATACTATTTAAAATGCTGAAAAATTTCTTATATATTTAATAGTTTCTGAGTTATGAGAGTAAGAAGCACGTCTAGCGAACATTTTCTGTAACATTCCATTTTGTAAAAAAATGACATTTTTCTTGATTTTTTTGTTTCTAACACTCATATATAATTCTTTATTTTTGGTCCCATCTGTTTCAGCCAATTAAATTCAATCATTCATCAATGCATTTTTATCATCATTTTTATATCTTCATTTATAATTATTTTGGGCTAGAAAAAAATTAAAATGTAGCTGAAAGGTGATGAAATAAAACTATTAAATCATTATAGAACTTATTTTTTCATTTCTTTAAGGAAAAAAAATGCTAAACATAATATATATATATATATATATATATAAATATATAAAAGCTTCGATTAATCTTTTTATGTTATTTCTTTTCTATTAAACAATTCCCAATTAATTATTCCAATCGAAACGCTTTCTCACACTTTAAAAAAGCCACTTCCTGTTCTTAAATCTATTTTTGGCTCAAGTATGCATAATTAAAAGTAAAGACATTTTTCCCTTTACCCTTTGTGGGAATCGCGCGACCTTTCAACAAACCAATTGTAATTACTAAGATTTCCCTTTTTCCCTGAAATGTAATAAAATAGAGGAAAATTCATTTGCTACTTTCCCTAGGTTTAAAACTTAACCACACAGTTTTGGAGTGCGAATTTGAGCTCCGCCATTGATAGAAAATGTTTTGAATATACCATGTGAAGCGAAATAAAATATTTTTGCCTTCCAACTGCTATCTGCGTAGCTCAACATCACTCACCATGACTGCCACCCTTTCATATATATATATTCTTTAGTTAGTTTATATATCTTTTAGGAATGAATTGTTGAACCATTTACTAATTTACTATGTGAAAATCATCCATACAACTACTAATTTTAAATATGTTATTGATGCAATAAATTTTCAACTGAAATTCTTTTACTGCATTTCGGAAAGCTTTTTTTAGTCGAGGTAGAATATTTCGCTCGTTAAAAACTAGTATATAATATAAAAAACTATATATTTGTTATTTTGTCGCCTAATAATTAATGAGTTTTTTGAAGCAATATTTTGTCAGCATCATAATGATATTGACACTTATCAAATGCCTGAATGTCTCTAGAATTCGTGAAAAGTTTTAATTTTGTTAAAAGTTTAATAAAAGTTTAGTTAAAAGTTTTAATAAAAGTTTTAATTTGTATCTCTGTATATCTAGTTTTTATTTATGTTAAGTAATTTGTTTTAAATGCAACTTCTTCAACATAGTACTTATAAATTTAAAATATTGATAATTTTAAAAACCCCGCTTGTGCAAAAGTAAAAGCATTTAAATTACAGTTGTTCTTGTATTTTCCGTTTGGATAGTTTTTGTTCATCTCATATGAAGTCTTTTTGGGTTGACAGTCACTTAATTATAAAGTTCATTTCGGATTAGAAGTAAGTTTTTTCGCCGTAAATAGAACATTTCTTTGATAGTACTCTCTCCTTGGCTAATAACTGCAGAATTTCAGTTCCCTCTTTTAACCGAAAAGAAACAGCAGGAAAGATGAAAAGAATTTACGGAATTAAGCGGCAAATATTGCTCAAAGGAGATAGAAGGATTTCATTCGTGGTGGAATCACTTCAATTAAGTGGGACCTCCATTTCTAGGGCTCTTTGAATCAGATTTTAAAGGGGAGAGGAGGCAGTTAATTGTCTTCTTAAAATATTCGCAAATAAAAACTGGCAACTTTCGAATGAATGAACATAGAAGGAAAGAGAAACAGGCATGTCCAAACACTAAGGAAAAAAAGCAGGGAGAAAGAAGGAGGTGAAAAACGAGCTAAAGTGGTATTAAACTTAATGACTTACCTAACAAAAGCATAGCCTTTATCTTTGAATACCCTGATTTCTTGAATGGAGCCGAACGGCGTAAATGTCTTTTGCATCAGTTCTTCTGGAAAGAGAGAAAGAAACATTAGATAAATTGCAGGGGCATGTTAATTGATTTTTCTGCCATTGACAACTAGGCGTGAGAAAAAAATCTCTTCAAAATTGTGAAATGGTACGGAAAAACAGAGAGAAGAAAAACTGGAAGTTAGTGAAAAACACTTTTCCACAAAAGGTTTTGATTAACCAAAATTTTCTAAAAGACAAAAACTTCAACTAATTTAGAACTTTAATTTTATTTATTATTATTATTTTTTAAATATCATTCGATGATACAGAAATATTATGCTGACTTAGAATTTAAGATCCCTCAAGAATCGTACTAGTCAAAAAATTTTAATTTTTAATTATTTTCTTATCTCAAATTGAAAATTGAAAATAACAATGATGTCATGATATTCTACCTTAAGCTTCTATTAAAACTAAAATATATGCGTAAATATATTAAAAAGTAAGTTAAAAAAGGGAAACATTTGAATTCTGCCATTGATAACTAGGCGTGAGAACAAAATCTCTTCAAAATTGTGAAATGGTACTGAAAAACAGAGAGAAGAAAAACTGGAAGTTAGTGAAACATAGATATAAGCCACTTTTACACAAAAGGTTTTGATTAATTAAAATTTTCTAAAAGACAAAAACTTCAACTAATTTAGAACTTTAATTTTATTTATTTATTTATTTTTTTAAATATCATTCGATGATACAGAAATATTTTGCTGACTTAGAATTTAAGATCCTTCAAGAATCGTACTTGTCAAAATTTTTTTTTCAGTTTTAATTATTTTCTTATCTCAAAAATAACAATGATGTTATGATATTCCACCTTAAGCTTCTATTAAGACTAAAATATACGAGTAAATATATTAAAAAATAAAATTGAAAATAGGAAACATTTGAATTCCGCCATTGACAACTAGGCGTGAGGAAAAAATCTCTTCAAAATTGTGAAATGGTACAAAAAAAGACCGAGAAAAGAAAAAATGGAAGTTAGTGAAACATAGATATAAACCATTTTTGCACCAAAGATTTTGATTAACCAAATTTTTCTAAAAGACAAAACATTCAACTAATTTAAAACTGTAAGTTCATTTTATTAATTTTTTTTGAGCAATATCATTCGACGATACAGAAATATTTTGCTGACTTAGAATTTAAGATCCCTTAAGAATCATACTTGTCAGAAAATTTTAATTTTTAATTATTTTCCTAGCTCAAATTGAAAATAATAATGATGTCATTATATGCTACCTTAAGTTTTTATTAAACACAAAATATGCGAGTGAATATACGAGTAAAAACTAAATTTGGGAAGTAATTCATTTCGTTTCAAAAATTTATTACAATTTTATCTCTATCAATGAATACTTTTACTTGAAATTATGAAATGCAAACTAAATTATTTTAATTTGTGATTCAATTAATTATAGTACTAAAAATGTTGATGCTCTGAATTATGTTTCCAAGGTGCTTTGAATTATGTTTATGAGTTAAAATTAGCATATTGCTTAATTTTCTTTTTTTTTATATTTAATATTAAAGGAAACATTTAAATTTAATTTTTTTAATATTGTAGTCAATATGAAAATAGTTAATGTATTAGCTTAGAAGTTTATATAAATATGGAATCAATTCTAAATGAAATTCAAATGTTTTACACATTATTCCATTGCTTATTTGTTTTTTTCTATTTTTGGTAAAAATTATTAAATTAATGAACAGATTATAATTCTAATCAATGATTTAAAATTTTTATTAAATTGAAGTTCCGCATGGAAATACTTTCGAGTGCTAAAATATTGATTTATGATCTCATTTGAACAAATCTAAATCAATACGCAAATTTCATTATTACAGCATTGCTTAATCTAATAGAAAACCATCTGATTAAATTAACTCTGATTAATTGATACAATGATTTGAAATCCCTATAATTAAATGTAGAATTTCAGTACAAAACAGTTACAAGGGTTTCTAGAGATAATAGTCTCTCTTAATCGTGTTTATTCATTATAAAAACCGAAACCGTGCTTTTGCATCCAAATGGAAGGAGGAATCATTAGACCAAAGTATTTGCTTAATTTCGCTTCACCAACGAAATGTAAAGCTTGAAGGCATCATTTTGGTAACTAAACTCACTGATGATCGTGTCTGGCATAGTCAAATAGATGCACTGTTTGTTTCACTTTGAAATGTTTGACAGAATTGGCAATTAACTCCACAAAGGCACGAAATACAGTCAGAGCCATCAAAGCAGACCACCTTTTAACATGGCTAACTCCTTGTAAAGAGAGATTAACAATGAACTAACCATTATATGTGTTTAAAGTTAAATAGGGCTGTTAATTATTCAATGTGCCGTTAAGAAACAATGTTACAAAGCATAAGTTCTAAAGCAGGTTTAAGAATGCACCTGTTAAATTTATTATATTAATGTTTTTGGAGTCTTATTTAGTGAGTAATTAAATAGTTAGGATTAATACATTGACTAAATAGTTAAGATTAATACATTAATTACTTTTTTTTTTATTTAAAAACAAATAAAATAAGAAGCTTGATAGTTATATGAAAAAGTGGATATTTCAAATGAAACTACTTTTCAAGATGTTATTTATTTTCAATATTCAGAATCTAAATTATAAGAAAAAAAATAGTCGTCGCTTTAAGAGATGAATTCTTTAAAATACTATAGTATAAGAGCGAAATTTAATAATAGGATATAATAACATAAAGGTCTGAACAGTTTAATTTCTTTATTTATAACCTATAGTTTGTTATCGTAATCTAGGTTTATGAAGCGGAACTTGATGATTTTCTGAAATAACTGAAAAGCTGAAACTTGAAAATCCCATTCATAATTGAAATAAAAATTAAAATGAGTGTTGAAATGTATTTACATGTTATAAGATTTACACGAGTTACTACATTTTATTTATTGATTAAAAATAAAGATTGAACACAATTTAATCTATGAACTAACTTTTAACTAAAATTCTATACAACAGTAGAAATCAATAAGACTTTATAGAAACGCTATAATTATACGCTGTGGTTACAGTTTCGTGTATAGATTTTAATCTACCATCCTAAACTACCTTTAATCTTAATTTTTAAAAAAATTACCTAAGTGAATTAAAAGTTAATCTACATTCTTAACTTATTACATTAAAAAAATTAAATATATATTGCATTCTCTTTCTGTGCAATTTTCTGTTGAAAAACTTTCAACATTTTTGTCTTTGAAATTTCAGTATAATGATCTTACTAAAAGATATTGATTTTAGTGTTCAAATTTATTTCTTGCAATTACAACTGCTGACAACTATTGTTTTATTAACAACTATTGTAAGAATATCAGTACACTGCTAGTAGAAAATTTTAACCATGTCAAATTTTTCTCTTTCTCATAAGGTTTTCTGAAAGTACATTTTTTTGTTTTTATCTGGTTTATGAATACAATACACCATTAAGAAAATTTGTTTCAATCAGAAAAAATGCATATTGCATGCAGAAAAATGCATATTGCACTGTACTAAAAATGCATGCATTCTATTCTAAAAAAGTGAAAATCTTGCACTAAAATAGTTTTAATGGTTGAAGAGCCCGCAGAAGTTTCCCAGGAGCATAAGCAGATTCATTATCAATTAAGGAAATTTGTTTCTCCATTATAAACCTAAAAGTCTAAAGGACAGAAATCCTATGAATCAAAAGCATGAAAGAGAATGTTTAAAGATTAAATAATATTTGTTTTAAGAAGCATTTGCGTAATTGTCACGGTCTTTAGCTTGATCTTGAATTTTTAGAAAATGATTCGAATTTGTTAGAAGAATTAGGTGATTCAGCAAAATTTGTTTTAAGTGTTTAAAAAATGAAATGCTAATGAAAAGAAAAACAAGCATCCGAAAAATAATAATTTGATTTTTTTATTCATATTCTAGTCATAGACAAAAATGTTTAAGCAGTTATTTTTTATTGTTTTGATAAGAACCCACATTAATAAATTTTAATACACAATGCTAGCATAAATTTACGCAATTTACCATTTAGAAAAAAAAACTAATAACAATACAAAACAATGATAACTTCAGAGGCAAAAAAAGTACTTATAAAAATATTTTTCATTAAAATTGTACTTTTTTCATTGGAGACCGGAAATGACGTGCATCAATACAAACGTTCTTTACAATTATTTTTTTCTTATTAAATCCTTCATTATTATTTTTCTATTCAGCCAAAAGGATGAAAAGAATCTCGTTTGGCGAAGAAACACCCGCTTTAAAAACTTTATTCTTCTAAATATGATTACTGATAAATAAGAAATCTATTAAAATATTTTTTGAAGCACGCAAAGGAATTGGAGAAAATTTATATGGGCGTATGTCTTGAAATTACATAGTAGGGATTATAAATAACTTTAGATTGAAATCTACAAAAGATAATTAATATGATTAAAATTTAGTAGCGCACCAGATGTTAATAAAGACCGTGAGTTATAACATTAATTTTTATCCTTCGTAATAAAACACAATTGCTCTAAGGAGGCATAAATTACATTTACGTATCATTAGAAGTATATCTACGGCATAAAAAAAACGTTCATTAATATACTCAATCATGTCTTTAGTGTCGTGGTAATTGTTATGTAAAGAGTTATTACATTGCATTTACTATACATAATAAATGCCTCAACACGCTTCTTTAGGCTGGTGCTTGTTAAATTTAATTTTCTTATAATGGAACCAAGGGATATATTGGAATTTAAATTGAAAATTGTAATTATTTTTTTTCTTTTATGTAAGTCTTGTGATTGTTTCTGAACATAATATAAATGGCGAATTAATACGAAAAATTTTCTTTTATATTTTCTAAAACGGCTTACTTATTAATTTCATTACATATAAATAAAATTTTCTGTCTCTTTTTTTTCTAAAGAGAAAAATAATAAAATATTTTCGTTAATCGTGATCAGATTATTATTGTTATTTTATTGAGTTATAGTTCATTGTATTA